TCAGCAAGAGTTATGGTGTGCATTCTTGACGAAGCATCGTGCTCTGCTCCTTCCGAGCATTCGTTTGACAGCAAGCACGTTTTACCTTCTAATTCCTATCATTGCCCGATGGACATATGGAACACATTGTCCGTTTTCTATCCGCGGATGAAGTCACCAATGTTGATTATATCTACATGTATTTACCTCAGTCTGGTGAAGTTTAAAGTGCATTTTTTGAAGAAATGAATCAATAGATGAAAGTAGATGATCTCTCGAGAATAGCTTGTTGAAAATGGGGCGACCATCGTTTGCACTGCACACTTGTGAGAGCGACTCTCCTTTCGGCTTATAAACACAACTGAGATAACCGTTCCGATAAACTTCTGGATTTCAACAGCATTTAATTTCGTAAGTAATTTTTTAAGATAGTTAGGTAAGCTTATTCCTAACTTGAGGTGTCATAGTTCGTGATTTTCGAATTTTGTAATTTCCAAGGTTTCATATCTGAAAAAGATGCTCCGATTTAAAAACAGTTTGTGTGAAATTTCACTTCAAAGAGTTAACCTGAAAAGTCACTAGGTTCAATTGTTTATTTCGCTGTGTATGCACTGCGCAATCTTTCAGCCTATCTTTTTTCCATAAACCTTCGCAGAGATCGTTTTTAGTCAAAAAATTAAAATTCTGAGGGTGAGACCAAAACAAATTCGAAAGATGAAATCAGTGTACAAGGGCGCCTAATGCGAAAAAATTTTTACCGAGCGACTTTTCAAACTGATTTTTTTGAGGTGAATTTTCACATAGGTTATTTTTAGATCATCTGGCATGTGTTTCTGAGCTAGGACAGCACTTTTCAGCGCATCATTGTCTTCAAACAAAAGTTTCTCAACCTAATCTTTGCTCTTCAAGACCGTCATTAGTACTGATTTATAGCATATCAGTCTTTTTGTAGCATGCCCTTGGTAGAACGGGAGGTAGAGACACGTCAGTCCGAATCTAAGGAAATCAAGGCAACAAATTGTATTTGATTTTGAGGTGTCATCTCCTTGAGAATTTTTCACTTTAGAAAAATTATATCCCAATGTTGTGGTGATGATAGATTCCATTGATTCATTATTATATTGTGTAAATGCTGAAGAAAATTGAAAACTGCAGTTATGCATTACAGTCATAAATTAGCAAGTCGTTATGACAATGTGCTCATCTTGATTTCATTTCATTTCTTCACATAATCGGGTCATTTCTACTCACTTCATAAAACTTACTTTATTTGTGTGTGTGGTCGAAGCACTGAATGTCGTTGGCATCGTACAAGTAATCAGTTAACAAGTAACACGTAGTCAAAAGCACACTCCGTTTATTCATCATTATTGCCACTGATAGATGTATAGTGTATGCGTTTATTTTTTCAAATTTCAACGCAAATTTGATTGATGGGACTAAAATATTATACTCGCATTTAGTTATTTCAACTCATCATATTATTTATATCACAAAGTAATTTATTATGCATGAATCATTCGGTGATTATGATCCATCAAGACTCTCACATGGCAGTTTATATTACGCTTTTTTTTGGCGATGCATTTTTTCATGAATGAATATAGCGAGTTAATTTTAGGTACAAAAAAGTGATGTATTGGATGTATGGAATGAGCCGTATGAGGATAATGCAGACTTGGTTTTGGTTGATCGTATTGAAATCGTTAATTACACTTTAACGACAGCTGGATACGAGATTGACGTAAAATATTGGAAGAAGTTTCTTGTCGAAAATTGGCGATCGAATTCGAATTGATTTTCAGCGATGACTCGGAATAGTTTGTATGGATGTTCAAGCTCTATGATGATTTAAGTGATTTTTTATGCGCTCATGACGTGTATAGTGATTAGCAAAGCAAAAGATTATCGTTGTATAGTTTTATTCTAAAATCTATGCATTGAATTTAATCTTTCTAAATGGCTAATCGTGGTCGTTTACTCGTTTAGAAGTAAATGTTGCCGTCGTCTTCAGAATGCTTCAAACCACGTTCCAGCCCACCTCTAATTTTTTTTTCTAACTACTCGTTTTCCCTCTCGTCAAAAATCAATATATTCTTGATCCATAGAAGTACTTAGTTAATTGGATACCAAAATATTCTTATGATTTGAATTATGGTATAAAAGATTCATTTATCTGTATGCTAGTAGCGTGTATAAAATGACATCCAAATGCATATACCTCAAGCCACGCCCTAGGCGATTTACTGGCGATATTAAAGCTGAACAGAACGAAGTGAAGTGAGTATTCTGTTCATCTTTCATTCATACGGTCCTTGATCAGAACGTACAGTTTGTTGGAGATGTCATCGATGGGTTATTTTTGCTTCGTGCTCATTTCAGTTTACATCACAGTTGTGAGTTCTTTTATTGTTATTTGTAGAAAATTTATCTCGGTCACTATTCTGCTTCCTTCAGTTGTTCGAGAAGAAGTCAAAACTGAATTCGAACAAACCCTGAGTGAAGTGTGACACGTGAGAATGAGTAACGAAACTGAATTGATGTGATGCGCTTGAAATGACTAGTTGCCTATTTCGTGCATCAAACTAGTCCACATAAACAATTTCACGTCAAACAATCTTAGCGTGTCGCACAAATATACACGATTTCAGATTTTAACCTTGTTATTTCATAACCTTGTTTCTTCGATTTCAAGAATAGGTTCGCTTCCAGCTTCATCAAAACTTCTCGATGAATTTCCATTTACTGCTTTCACAAAATTCCCAACCTTTCAGAATGCATTTGTTTGAGAAATAGTGTGTTGCACGAAATAGGCAACTAGTCATTTCAAGTGCATCACACCAATAAATAAACTAGATTGATTCGGTCGAGAAAAATGAAATTGTAAGAACCATTCTGATAAAACGAGTAAGTGAGTATAATAAATTTATGACCAATCCCGTAAATGCAGGTTACATGCTGTTCTGAGACTATTCTACTGCAACGTTCATACATTTTTTTATGTGGCAGGTTGATTTTTGTTGGTCGGCATAGTGGCAATTCATCAACTATGAACGACTGTGATTGTTTTGCTCGAAACTTAACTGATTGCTAATGTTAGCTAATATCCTCACTACGTGCACTGTTTCATTCTAGTGATGGTAATTGACCGAAGTTCAGTCGGTAAAGTCCGACAAATTTCGGTCGAAATTCCCGGATTCAGATTCTGACCGAAGAATTTTGAAATTCGGTCGGAATGCTGGATTTTGGAATGTTCAAAAATCGATTTGGTCGGATTCCGATCGAAGTGGATATTCGATCGGATACCATCACTATTCATTTACCAGCGTTAACCCCTTATTCAACTGAATCCTTCAAGCAACATCCATACCCGAGCAGGTTCATAATTTATTCATTAAAATGATCACGGAATCTTTCTGTGAGATAAACATAGTGATTTCTCAAAAGAACCAATTAGAAGACAGTAGCTAGTGAAAGCAATAAACGAATATGAATGAATCATGAAAAATGAACTATGGTCACTTCTGAATATTCGCATGTTCGACTCACTAGTTATCTAACGAAAATGCAAAAGATCAACGCTGCTTTAAAAGTAATACAAATTGTATACGCTAAGTTCTCGAAGAGTAGTTCGCTGCTCAACCTTTTCGGTGCGTCAATCGCCTAACTTTGCTAAGATGTTGGTTGACCAAATCATCCCTTTCCATTCCAAGTACAGCGATGTTCAACAGCCTTTTCAAGACCGCAGTGAAGAAAATGTTAATGTTAATAATTTCATTTATATTCTCCAAAATCGGCTTCTCTAAATAATGTTTTCATCAATTGGTGGGCGAGATTACTCATCTTGAAAAAGACCGTTCTAGAATATCTAATGACAGAGACTGTTGTTTGCTACACTTTAATCACTTCGATGGTTGTTCCATTCAATAAACGGAATTATGTAGAACAAAAATCAAATCTCTATGAAATTCCCAAAGAATCATAAGTAATGAGTAGTAATTTTCACATATGTATCTTTTTTCTATGAAAATACAGCCTAGACATCGAATGCACTTCTAATCTTCAAGGAGCACGCTAGGCTCAGCATCATCATTCTTATAATGCATGCTCAAAAACAAGAAGAGATGACTACTCAGCAACAGTCGTCGATTTATCTGATTGCAGTTGTGAGAATATTTCCGCTTCTTTTGAAAAGAGTAGTTTTCTTTTGAATATAAATGCCAGGAACTTCCTCGGTGGAGATTTTGTCAACGTCTTCACCAGAAAAAAATTGTACTTGCTATAGGTAAGGGAGAAATTTTGCAAAACTTTATTGCGCTCATGAAATAAAGCAGGCAGTCTGTACTGTTCAAAGAAGATTTCGCGAGTGCTTATAATATGAATAAGAAGGTATTTTTGAAGATCAGCCGTTCGCTTGCACAATAGTCACTGAAATACATACACTGGAATTTGGAACCTTTGAATTTTTTGTTTATATCCTTCAATAAACATTTAACCTTCTTGTTTACATCTTTCATTCCACGCTTTCCAATTCAAGAATGAACACATACTACACTGAAAACTATCAAAGAAATTTCATATTCCTAATATATCCAGTCGAATATTTGTCAAGTTCGGAATTTCATTTGTGAGTTTCATGAAGATTTCTCAAGAAGGGGAGACGAGACAGAGAATGATGGGGAATCAAGGTTTAAGATAACCGCAGAATTTAGTGGTCATCTCTCACTCGATTGAAATGCTCCAGAGCGCTGCTGAAGATCAGAACCTTCAACTCCTTACGGTCGGTAATATAAGATTCCCTTGCATTACAAAAACCTGATCTTGTTGTTGCTAGTACCTTCGTTTGAGAAACTAATCATTACATCAACAAATTAATTCCAATAAACACTGCAGAATGAGTGGTAGTCATTGAATTTGATTCACAAATAATCTATTGTTTATAAGAGTCAACGTGCAACCTCGTTGCCTAATTTCCGATCTGATTTCCCTTTCTTGCTGTGTTCTGTTCAATTCTGTAAAAGAAAATGATCCTTTTCAAGTTCTTTTTCTCGAGAGCATGCAATTCAATAAGATCGCTCGTAAGCATACTACTACGTCCTCTTCAAAATCTTATCTTTTATCAGAATACCATAATTGAATTTCTAATCCTAATTGGTGATTAATCTCAAATCAAACATCGATATTCGGGGATCCGTTGAAAGTAATTTTGTTAATTCAATCATCCTTCATCAAATGCATTTTAGTCATTTGCATACATCATTCAGTTACCACATGTCCCAATCGTGTAGCGGTCTCATCTGTTTTGTGAAGTGACGTGAAAAGAATATGTCAAGTGGAGTTCATGAACTCGAATTCATGCACTGATTCTTAGCATCTCTGAACATTATCTAATAGAACTGAACATCACTCTCCGCCCAGCTATCCAAGCAGCGGAAAGTAGCAGGCAGTGCAAAATATTATTATGGCTCTATCAACTGAAACAGTTTTCGAAGTTCAGGTTCACTATTGCTTCTCATAAAAAGCTCCATAAACGGTGCATTCGATTTGAGCAATATTGAATCTTTTAAAGGAGTAGCGAGGAAAGTGAATCAATCGCTCGTAGTGTTCCCAATATTTCTGAGCCCATAAGGAAAACGAAACTTTCAAGTGCGATTCATGCCTTGCAATGAGTAGATGAAGTTTTTACCAATAAAATCGAAACAAAACGAGCTGAATATTTTGGTCTTCATGTTCAGGATGGTATACCGTCAGTCGTGCGAATATCGGATAAAAACGTGAAAAAGCGAGTGTTTGATTCGTTGGCGGGTACTGGCTTCACAGGTTTTGATAAAAGGGCACTCGACTCACTGGAAAGTGCTGGATTTAGCAACTCTGATAAGCGTACATTCGATTCATTATCTGGCACCGGCTTTACCGGCTTCGATAAACGATCTTTTGATGCTCTCTCAAATCGAGGGTTCACTGGCTTCGGCATACGGTTGGTTCTCATTTTCATTCAAGATAACAAAACAACACTGATTTCTGAAGTGAATTCGAAATAGTTCATTTCAATATTCTGCTTTTTAAATATTGAAGATATAGCAAATAAATTATGGAAGTGTGACTGACAAATAAGAAGTTCAAAATGATGCTGCAGTAAAGTAAAATCTTTCGAGTAAAATGAAATGTGAAAATAGCTGTCCTGTGTTGAATAAGTTCCCATAGCTGAAGCATTCTACAGATCCAGTGATCAATCCTACTGAATTTTGAAACTTAATGAAAATGTGTTTTTAAAGGAAACCGCAACTACTGCTGAATGGAAGAGTGAATGGTTTTGACAAGCGTTCTTTCGACAGTCTTCTCAGTCGAGGCTTTACTGGTTTCGACAGATAATTAAACTCTTATAGAACGTGTGCTTATTCATTCATAAATATCTCAATTCACATCTATGTGCAAGCGTTGATTTATATCAGTTACTCCTCTGAGGAGCATACTGATTCAAATAAATTGATGAATATTATTGTCTGCATTTATATCACGATATCGATCTGTTCATATTTCGACTGAACGTAACACTTTTTAGCACTTTCTCTAACTTATCCGGTGTTCCCAAGAAACCTCCACTAATGTTTATTATACAGTTCTGATAATGGAACTCAAGTTGAAATCAGTGCAGTTGACTAAATATTTTCATACTTGACAAAATCACCACTCATCGAACATACATGTTGTGAATGGATTGAGTTCGTTTATGCGGGTATTCTTGGCAGTCACTACATTGCTACGAGAACATAGTTAACATAATTTCCTCACTCTATCGCGCGGAAAAATAAGCAGTAAGAGAAACCTTAAAAATTCGGAATGTAATATTTATTTATTCATCTAATGACAACAGATAAACAAACCATTTAAAATATCCCAAATTAAAATTGAAAAAAAAAAGAATAAAACAAACCAATTGAAGTAAATGATGAGTCGTTATTTGAATTTCGCGATTCTTCATAAATTGGGATTCGAAATTGGACTTACTTACAAGGACATTGTTTATACTAATGCGTGATCGAAGAATATGATTCACGTTCGAGTTTGATAAGAGAAGAAAAATAGTTGAAGAAGATTCACCACAATTTTTTACTTGATTGTGCTATTGAATAAATGCTAACTGAGATTATTTAAACAAGTTTGCCATCTAACGCAACAAGCGATTCTTTGACATTCAATCAAACGGAATTTTAGTCAACCAACGAATTCGGACTCACTTCAAAATTGATCACATCAATAGTCATGGGGGAATTTATCAACATGACGGAATAAATAAACATATCTTTTCTAATATAATAATCTTTCAAGGTTCATGTAAATATTATCAATTTAATAATCAGTAGAAGCAAAGTGCATCCTTCAAATCATACGATGAAATAAATTTTCAAAGATCCACATTATTACTTATTTGCCATTAATTACAGAACTATCACAATGATTCATTTATTTCAAAGTTCAGAACCTTCACTACGATTTGCGGTCTTATTTGAGATTGCGGTGGAGGAGAGCATCAGCGGACCGATTGAATCATCGTTTTTTGTGCTTCTTACTTGACTTGCTAGTAACAGTGGCAGTTTGCTGGCCAGACACACCACTCGTTGCTTGTCGGTTTTTCAGTTTCGGTATCATCTCACACAGATAAATTAATAACGACATTCCTTAAAATTATGTGTATTTCTCATAACGTCACTTATCGCACCATCAATAAACCATCTACTTAGCAACGAATTAAACTCCTTTCGAACATACAAAGAAATCACAGTCGACATTCTGACTTACTTTCAGAAGTCATTATTTCAGCTATCAGAAATATTGGACAACGGATAAGTTTCAAAATGAACGAACTCGTTGGTAATTTCTCATTGAAAGGTGAACCATCATCGTTACGTAACTGTAACCGTACACGACCTTGAGAGTTCGTATCACGATTTGGATCTAACGGATGCATACAATGTTTCTGCAAACATTAGATTAATACCATCATCACAACTCAAAACGCGTAACGAACAAGAACTCATCTAGGAACAATAACATTTACCAGGCACCAAAGAGATTTAGTCAAAATAATCGAAGCAATGGCCTCACGCAATATTCTGAACATTCCGCAAACCAAAAATCCTCTGAACTTTACGATGGGAATCCAAACAATAGGATCGTTCAAATCTCACCTCCAGTTTTACTTTGAATCCTGCATTCGTAAGAACATCGTAAATTTCTTGTGATGTGGGCGAATCAACGGCCTAAAAAGTGCAGTACAGTAAGATTCTTAACAAAGTAATCATGCAGTTTAGGTCAAGGAGGAAAGGGGTGTGACTTAATATATATGCAACAAGCGTCAGCCAGTCCATGAATGACATGTGTTGTAATTTGGGCCTAAGCTTAAGCCTAAACCTAAACCTAAGCCTGAGACTAAGCTCAAGCTAAGCTAAGCCGCGTGTTATGTATGTGTTAAGACACACCCCTATCGTCGTTGACCTAAATTGCAGGATTGCCCAAAAACACACACCCCTAGGTGAAATTTCTACGAATTGTACACATCGAACGACCATCTTAATTACTCTTTCCTGGAATAACGTTCCTTCCATTCAAAAGGAATTCATCCAAATAACAAAAACACCAAACAATTTGCCACTACACGCCACGATCATGAAATTCCACTATGCACAGCGAAACTTTTGAGAATGTGAGAACTCTGATTAATACGTAGATTTGGTTAATATACCACACCTTTTCCTTGTTTACACGACGTCCTTTGGTTACCGTTTTCCTCGCGTTTATGTACAAAGGATAAATACAAACCCATTTGGTTTCATCGCTGTGACGCTTCGATTTGTATACATCGAATGATGCATCCATCTTCTTCACTCCTACCTATAATAAACGTTCCTTTCATTCAAAATGAATTCATTCAAATGACAAAACACCAAACAATTTGTCACTACTTTAACACCACAACCAAAAAGTTCCTCAATCAGCAGAGCCAAACTGATTAACAAAATCTGATAAATCCTCATTTACAGCTTTCGTTGTTTGTGGCGAACATTCTTATCTTTTCGGCGGATCTACGATATTTGACCAAGCGACAACTGTCAGCACGTCATTTAGCCAACAAGTAGTCGGTCACACAAACTTCGTCTAGGTTCGCTTTTTGAGCAGTGCGAACGCACGATCACCATTTCGTGTGTTTAATATAAAAAGCAGATTATGTGATATATTATGTGATATTATGTGATATATTTGAAATAATTCGTGATGGTTATTATGCATTATTTGAAAGAATATTACAATATGTCATGAAAGTAATGTTGTAAACAGTAATTATGTAAATACGTATTATGAATGATTCTCTATAAATAAAAATGAATGATAAAAACTTGTGTTGTGTTACGTGGACACTTTGAACCAGATAAAATTTCAAAGTTATCGAAATAAGAGGAAAAAAATTTTCCATTAAAATTTCAAAAAAATCCTGAATAACAACCCCTTATTATCTCAAAATCTGCATTTTCGACATATCATATCTCAGCTTAGGATAAACATTTTGAGATGCTGAGAACGGTTTTAAGATGGCTTTGGCCGTCTAAACGAGAATACCACAAGGAGAGCTCTGATCCACCAACAAAAACCGCGCTTCGAGACCGTAAAAACCGTCATTTCAGGATTTTCGGCCAATGGATTCATTTTGTAAAATATCACAAATCTGGCACCAGTTGAGTTGGAATGGGGCACTGTGGGCAATGAAATAGGAATCAGCTCAAGTGTAGCCATTCTTGTGTTCCGACCGCAAAATGTGTTACCACACGATTTCTAAGCACCATCATAGCGGTTTCTACAGTCCGATTTCTCAGAGGAAAACCAAAAAACAAAACAATTACAACATTTAGTTCCACTGTTTTTCGAGGGCTTTTTCTGATCTCTCATGCAGCCATAATTTTATACTTTTCGTTGTACACTCGTCAAGCTGAACCGATTGGTACCAATCTTATCGCAAAAAATGATCTCACTAGAAACGTCACAAAAACCTTGACCATACATATCTATTACGATTTCAAAATCCGCATTGTCGAGATATTATCGTGTTTCTACTGGCTGCTGGGTGGACTGATCTGAGTTTCCAAAAGCTTCTACTAGAGAAGTGAATGAAATGACGTTCAGCTTGAGCATTACAGTTGGAAACAGGAGCATGCATGTACATTTACCATTACAGTTGCCATGTACATTACCATTACATTTACTATGTATTTGAGCACTTACCATTACAGTGACCACCGTCCTTACGCGGTTATACACTCAGATAGAAGGAAAGAAGAGCATGTATGTACATTCAGGATTGCTGACTGAATACTCTTGAAGATTTCGATACGAAACCTGACTCACGGCCGCCGGAGGGAAGTGCAGAGGGTTTTTTTCGAAGTCGCATGCTTTCCACAGAAGAAAAAAATTGAACATAGGTCACAGACAGCAACCTTTTCTGTGCAAATTGCTAAATCTCAAACGGTGATGCTCACTCTAACCTACTGATCTCATCGTAGGATCTACGCTGACATGCACTACACGCCATACCACAAACGCCCGACTTACTTTGCAATTCCTATCCTACGCTAAATGACTAAATGTTTTCACAAACTCCATCTCCTTCCGAGAGCATCTAGTACCTTATTCGAGAATTCTTGTCTTTTTGTCATATCATCATGTTATTCGAAAGAAGCTAATTCATTGCTCGAGAATTGTCTCATCATGCTTATGTTATGTGTGCGATCTTCCCATGAGATGTTCGTCAGTTTATGATCCCTCATTTCAGTTACATTTTGCTGAATCACTAACAGCGTTTTGCACTAATAAATTTTCTAAATGCCTTCTCACATCAATATGTCGAGAAGTCTTTGAATTTCAAGTTCTCAGTCCCTAACTGCGATGTAAACAATCCTAGAACCTATGCTGCACTTGAATTCACTCAAACCTATCGTCACAAAACTACAACAGTTGC